CTCCCAATTATATGCTTACTAAGTAGATTAAAATAGAATGGGTTTTGCATAAAGAGTTGAATTGAAATTAAATGACAAAGAATTGTAAATTGTTGAGAAAAGATCAATTAAAGGTACTTAGGATTGACTTCCTTCCTTATCCCTCTTTTGTAATGGCTATGTCAATTAAGAACGTCAATTAACCTAACAATGTTGATGTCACCTACTCAAATCATCCATGTTGATTCCTCACACATGAAATTCATAAGAAAACCTAATAAATGTTGATTCCTCACACAATTAAGAGATTTTCCAACATTAGGGTTTAGGGTGTTAAGCAATTGATACATTCATTCCATTCCTGACAATTAACATAACAAATAATCTTACCATGATCTAGGGTTCAAGATATATTTTCCAATCATATCCCAAACATCAAGAATAAATCATTCAAAAGCACAAAAGATAAGAATAACAACATCAAAACATAGATTAATATCTCAAAATATCACCATGATACAAAAGAGTTCAAAGGAAGTACACCAAATCCCAAAAGAATGAAGTTAGCCACTCGTGTTGGCCATTACAAAGCTCCAAATGTGGAAGAAGTGAAGAATTGATGAAGATTGGATGAAACCCTAGCATTAGTCGTGTCTCTTCTCCCCAAAAACGCTTCCCTTTCTTAAAACACATCTTATCTTTTTATAGAAAAAATTGGACCTCGTGTCTTTCACTCAAGCGACAAAACAATCGCTTGAGCGAGTGAACTCTAGAGAAGAATAACTAACATTCTCTCAAGCGAATTTTCTTGCGCTTGAGCGACTGAGTTCCAGAGAAGAATAACTGATATTCGCTCAAGTGAATGTTCATCTCGCTCGAGCGACTTCCATGCTGAAAATCTTCTTCCTTCTTCCAGTTTTACTCCAATTATGCTGACAATTATGCTCCTTACTCTTGTATCAAGGTATTTTCGAATTCATCTTATATTGGGAGAAAAATAGATTAGAATAAACATTAGTTAAGTGGTTTCATAACAATTTAAGACATAATTATATTAACTTTTTACCACTTAACAAGCCCCGAGCTAAACATGACAAAAGTAATGAAACTCGCCAAATATTATTTTAATCCCAAGCTAAATATGATAGAGGTAATGAAACTTGCAAAGTATTATTTTAACCCCAAACTAAACATGACAAAGGTAATAAACTCAGTAATTAAAAATTCGAATTAAACATGACAGAGGTAATGAAACTCATTCTTAAACTGTCGGTCATAGGGATGACAATTAAACACGTCCCCGCCCCGAGTTTGACGGGGAAAACCTGAGTTGACCAGGGGTGGGGGCGGGTTCGGGTTTTCTCCGCTTTAAAAAGTCGGGGCGGGGATGGGTAATGCAATCCTCACCCCGACCCCGTCCCCGTCCCCGCTCCGACTTTATATTTAAATTTAAATTTTAAAATATTAATATTTTAAAAGTATTTCCTTTTCTTTTTCTATTACATATAAGGTCATTTTTTTATATTTCACCAAATATTTTTCTTCTATCCACTTTTTAATTTTTTGTCTTTTTTAATCTTTTATATCAATTAATTTATTACATTATTCTTTCTTACCTTTCGGTTTTTCACATTTCCTTAATTTCTCCCATCAATTTGTTTTTTTTTCAATCTTTTCAACCAATTTGATGAACATAAAGTTAATTTTTTTTTATTCTTTATCTTTTTCTAAATATTTTACATAAATCTTAGTAGTAACTAATATTATTTTATTTATAATTTATATTTATTAGGTTTTATTATGTCATTTTTTTATCTTATTATTCTTATTTATCATATATCAAATTTTATCTTAATAAAATAATTGTATTTTAAAGGATTAAAGGAATTGATAATTTAAATTTTTATTACTTCGAACTAATTGAATAAGAATTAACTTATTAAATATTTCCTTATAAACTATATATTTCATATTTTTAAATGACAACTTAAAAATGAATTAACTTATATATATAATCAAATGTTTGAATACAGTATTATAATAATAGTGTTATAAATATTCAAATATTTGAATACAGTGTTATAATAATAATAATATTATAAATAAAAAATGATTAAATATTTCTTTTACATACATATTTTAATATAAATATAATAATTAAAATGTATATTTAATTAATAATAATTATAAATTATAAATATTTATTTATATATAAAAAATAGATAGTAAAATTAATTTATTATAAATGTAATTATCTTTTTAAAAATAATATAAATCGGGGACGGGCGGGGCGGGAACCCGAAACCCAGCGGGACGGGGATGGGGACTTAATTTCTAACCCCGACGACGATCGGAGGCGGGAACAGGGATGGTTAAAAAGTCGGGGCGGGGATCGGGAGGCAAAATCTGCCCCCGCCCGCCCGTTGCCATGCCTAGCCGGTCACCACACAAATCATTGGTTCTGATACTACTGTTGGGTATTTCGAGGGGATTCACTAGGAAGAGATAATACAAGGAAAAAGATACTTTGACAACCCAAATCCATACAACTCCTATAAACAACTCTCTTTTAATATTATAATAATAATTTTATTTTATTTTATTAAATCATTATATAGATTATTATATTAATAAAAGTGAGTTGTTTGAAGGGTTGTATGGTTTCCAGTTGTCAAAATATCACCACTCATAATACAATTAGATATGAACTCAACTCACATAAGGGATTACCACTACTTTCAATCAAAGATATTAGGTTATGAGTCTTTCTTTATTATATGTTGCTTAACTTTTTCATTCTTACTTAATGTGAGACTTAGACTCACACTTAGATTTTTTCAATAATGTCCCTCGTGTGAGTCCCTTCATAACATTGGTACATTCCTCTCGATCTTACCAGTGTCATTTTCATGTCTCGTCGTTCATTATAACGAGACATGTTTACCTAACACACTGTCAAGAAGACTTTTGATTTAAAGACCAGTCTTAAACTGCCGATCATCACATAAATCATCAACTTTAATAGCACTATTGAGTATCTCCCTATTGTTTAGTCCCTTCAAAAATACCCAACACATCAAAGTCATATAATTATCTGAATATATCATTATGTTATAACAAATATTTAAGAACGCCATTTGAGCATGTCATTATGTCATAGCAATTTCAAGAACGTTAGTTGAACATGTCATTGTGACATAAAAATAGTACGTCTAATATCGTTAAATCGAAATATAGAACAATCATCAAGTTCTATGTTACTATTAAAAAAATCATATATCTATTTGAATTTGACCATCCTTATACTTAAAAGAATGTTTTACTTCAAACAAATAATTAATAACTTTAAATTGAACACACCTTACACGTACAATGGATACTTTATAAATTACTATTATGAATTTTGCAATGGTAAAAAAGGAACTTATAGAAGGTGAATCCACTTGGTCACACGTGCAATATAGATAAAAATAATTTATTTACTCAAAAAATTCTTATAAAATTCTATAGATGAAACTTACTTAATTAACTCACTCTTTTACCCTAAAGTTACACTTTGAATTCAAGAAACTTATGTACCTTTCTGGATTCCCAAATTTATGACATTTATTATATAACAAAAATATTCTATAGAAAAGGTTTATGAATAAGACACTTTATTATCTACAAATAATCTAATTCTCATTTAGAGACTTTTAATTATTCTTATTATCCTTTTTCTTGTACTCACTTAAACATCATAATGTCTTTGAAAGTGGACCTTCCTCTTTTTCCTACATTTAGTAGATCTCAATCTAATAGATTTTTAAGGTGACACGGATCGAGACTGACTTGTGTGAACTTATTCGTTATTGTGATTTTTGGATAAGAATAATTAATATTTCTAAGAGAATAAAATAAGAAAAACTATAAATAAGTTTTTTTCATAAATTAAAACTCATTGTAGAATTTCACATCTTACTACTTTTTTCAAAAATTAATATTAATTTATACATAAATTAGTTTTAACTTACAACAAACTTTATTTCATTTCCTTTTTATTTTTTTTTCTTTTATAAGCACTTAAAAGAATTATCCAAACAATGTTTATTAAACTTATCAAAATTATTTTTCCCTTATTAAATAAGAAATTATCATTATTTATAGTAAGAAATGTTTACCTAGACATACATAATTGTCTAGAATTAACCCATTATTGTTATAATAATGACATTCTTATATATGCGTAATAAACATACAAACGTTATTAGTTTAAATAGATTTTTTTTTTTAAGTTTTTAAAATTCTGAGTGAAGATTAATATTAATAAAACTTATAGTGTAGTGTGAGGGTAAAAGAAAAAATAGTAAGTAATCCAAGAGACTTTATTTTAAATTAATTTTCTTTCTAGGTCTTAGTTTGGTAACACATACGTGTCCAACAATAAGCAGCAACGTGCACTCATATAGTCCACAAGTTCAAATTAATTAATTTACAACATTATTTACTGTCCTTGGTTCGAAATTATGGACAGCATTAGTAGAAGAAATGACTTAAATATGATAATATATAAAAGGAAAGTGATAGCATTGAGTCAATTGATAGCATAATAGAATAAGATATAAAAGGAAAGGTAGAGCAGAAGGGTTCTCTACAATTGCGACAAATTTTGAGTCAATTTCTTCAAGGATCTCGGGAAGTTGAATTGCCCCACGAACACTTTGAGATCCATTTATAAGGTTATACCATCATCTCAAAAGCTATATACCTAACTCACAGCAACAAACAAAGGGAATTGCCTGCCACTGTGTCCCCTTATAAAACTCACCTGCTTCTGTTCATCAACTGCCACTTGTCATCAATGAGTTAAATACCCACATGGTGCGCATACACATAGACATGCACGTTTTTGCATATAATCATGAGATAGATCTGCTCCAATATAGAATATATCTAGCTTATACATTATATATAACCATATATTGGGTACTGACCACAACTGAGAGCAACGTGTCTGTGTTTGACAGGACTAAAGTATACAGATGGGTGACAACATCAACATAGGCGAAGTCTTAGAAAGAGAAGGCTTTAAGTACAACTTCACAGCTTCAACTGCAACTGCAAGTGACCCCTCGCCACAAGATGGGGTTATTAAGGAGCAAGATCGGTTGCTTCCAATAGCTAATGTGGGGAGGATTATGAAGCAAATACTTCCCCCCAACGCCAAGATCTCAAAGGAAGCTAAAGAAACCATGCAGGAATGTGTTTCCGAGTTCATAAGCTTTGTCACTGGGGAAGCTTCTGACAAGTGTCACAAGGAGAAGCGCAAAACCGTGAATGGTGACGATATTTGCTGGGCCTTAGCTACCCTAGGGTTTGATGACTACTCTGAGCCTCTTAAAAGGTACTTGCTTAAGTATAGGGAGTTGGATGGGGAGAGAGCAAACCAAAATAAGGGTAGCAACAGTTATGAAAACAACATTGCAAACATATAATTAAGTGTGGAAGGTGAACACTTCCTCTAATTCCCATGTTCGACGTGATTCATATAGGTCAAATTGCCAGTTGTTGTTGATCTGATATAATTTTGTCCTCACATTTCAAATATTCAAGGTGCTTGTATCCTTATTTGATATATATGTATTACGTGAGTCATATAGGGGTACACGTGTGTTAGACCTTATCTTTTTACTCTGCAGGGTTGAAATTACTGGGTTTGGCACTAGATGATCAACACCTAGTAGCTTGAGAATCATGTGATTTATAACTAATCTTTGCATTTGTATGTCCAATAATAAGCTTTAATCATTTCTGACGAGCAACACGTATGGATCACCTTAACTTGTAAATTGCTAACCTTTTCCTACTTCATCTTACTTGCAAATTCGGACTTTGAATATCTTTATTTGGACAATAGGCCCTGCAGTGCTTAAGTTAATCTCTGTAAGATAATGGAAAATAAAAGTATGTAGGTACTCACTTCCTACGATTGGAGTGAATCAGAAAGCCAAAAGGATATAACTAATCATAATACACACAGCTAACAGATAAATAATCTCTTTCTGTGATTTAGGCCTCATTAATCCAGATGCAAGTAAGGATTTCTCTATTTCAAAAACTGGCTTCTTTTTACCCTAACTAAGACATATGATGGATACATTCAACAAAAGTACGTTTTCTTGTGCATATGAATATCAGATGCAACTGTTTCTAAATAATTTTTTTTATGCAATTAGCGTAACTATGATTGATGCTACAGGATTTTGTTTTCTGCAATTGTTTTTCTTATTTTGTGCTTTGAATTTTCCTTTGTTGTTTTTGAATTTAGAACCTAGTTTTGTTATCCGTGTTCCAATCATTTTGCTTTTGTCCAATTTGTTCCTGTTTTAAACGTTTCAGTTGTTTTAGGGTCTTAAATAATCCCTCTTCAGAAGCAGCTTTGAGCACAAACTAATCTGATGAGTAGAGTTACTTGAACTCATTTAAGGAGATAAACATCTAACAATACCTTTTCAACTCACAGCACTCGATAACAATCTTAAATTAAACAGAAAAAAACAAGTTCTTTACTATTTGAAGCAACTGCGAGGTGAATTATCTGATGGCTTTCTCTAAATAATTTTAGCTTATAATATTATATTCAACATGAACATTTCAATAAAAAGCATGGACACCAAGTAATGATAATTAATTAAAGGATTATAAAAGAAACTAAAGTGAAGGTGACATTAATTATTTGGCATTCTTTCATTTTTAAAACAATTTGTTCTTTTGGTGTTGTATGAGAATATTTTTAAGGTAATCTGAAGTAAAAGAAAAAAATTCCACTTTACTCAATGTGCTAATTAATTAGGACATTATTATTTTTCATTTCAATAATATTTTTTTACGGTAAATAAATAAGGTAGGCCACATTTAATGGTATAAAATAGGAACTTTTTCTCACCCCAAAAATTGATCAATTTAGTTCTCATAAATAAATTTTCATATTCATGATGACACAGTTAATTAATTATGGATATGAAAAAAAACAAAAAAAAACTCATGAAAATAATGTGATGAGATAAGAAAAGAAGATAAAAATACAAACAAAGTGGAGTGCACATGAAACAAAAGATAAAATAAGGATTTATTTGTTTATTATTTTTAAAAATAAATTTTAATGTGTAATGGTTTTGTTAAAATAATTTTTATAAAATATTTATTTTTTAAATTAAAAAAATTGAAATTAATAAACTATATTTTTCGCTTAATTTTTATTAATGATGTCACATTTTATCAATAATTTTATTATATTATCCAATTTTATGATTATAAAATTATCAAAAATTATTTTATAATTTTTTTATTTAAAATAATTTTAAATAAATTATCAAACAATTTATTTCAGCTTCTTTTTAGGAATAATTTTTTAAAATTTATTTTCGAAAATTGAAATATAAAACTAAACCTAACAAGTCCTAAATATATTTATATATTTCACAAGGTACAATTGATCACCAAATACTATAACAAAGTATACTATGTTTTTATCTCCATTGCACATTATTTAAAAAGAAAAATGGCTATAACAAGTATAAAAACTAATCAACGCTTTTAAGACCTAATACTGTAATAAGTATGGAAGCTAGCTAAAGGTGTTATCGATGGACGCCATTCACATTGAAATCTCCATACAAAAGAAAGTGTCACTAATTTTTTATATTATATTTTGAAATTATGAACTAAGTTGTTGTAAAATGATTTTAATTAGAATGTAGAGATAATGTAAAAGTTTTTCACACAGTCTATTAATCACTTATTCTTCTTATGCATGATACATATATTATTTTTTTACAATAACTACTTTCAAGTTATATTTATTAGGAAAATGTATTTTAGTTTAGGTTAATGATATACAAAATTATTAAATATAAATATTATACTAAATTTATTGATTTTATATAACTATCTTAAAAATTATTCAACAATATTTTTTCTAATTAAAAATACAAAACTAATTTATCTATTAGTTTAAAGTCAGGTAATATTTCTAATTTAGAGAGCTCTAGTGAAGCTTTAAATTATCTCTTATATTATTATTAGTAGAAATATAAATGCTTTAATGTTTGTGTCTATAAATTTTTTATAACTATTTTTTTTGTTTTAAATATTTTTAATTTAATTTATTTTTTCTCTTTATTCTTTAAATGTATCTTTTTTTATTAATTACTTATTATATTTTTTACCTTTCATATTTTAATTATTTTTTAAATATATAAATCATAATAAATTTGTTTCTTTAAACTATATGATACATATTTTTTTCTCCCATGATGAAAATACTATCAGAAAAGGAAATCTTCATTTATATATTATTGTTATTATTATCATAATTGGTTGATTATAATATGCTGATAGTTACAAACATTTTTCTTACTTACGTATATAATAAAATTAAAATGGAAAACAAGAATAAAGACAAGGCATTGAGCCCACGTGGCTGATATTTGTTTCTATTCCTTGACTTTTGTCGGAATCTTCATGAGTTACCCATGTAGTCCAGTATCCAATATTAATAATATTTGGGCACACAGCAGAATATGTTGATGGCTAAGGAAGTTGAAATTCAAAAACCCTAGAAAAATCCAGGGACCACATTTTCTGGCTCTACCTCCCATGCCCACACATGTTTTGTCGTATTGGCTTTCAACATCACCGATTTCTGGGTCTCGATGAACCTGACATCTGATTTATTCGAAACAATTTGGATCATCTTCTAACAAATGAGGATGATTCTGTGTATTTGTGTGTCCAAAATTATATTTTTTTCGTAAACAGAGAAACGAAACAAGAAACTGTGTCCTATTTTGCTTCTTACATCTGCTATTTCAAAATGAACCGGACTCAATAAAAACACAGACCTTAAAGCAATAAGAACAAAACATATTATATATCTCGTACCTTAATTAATTAACTACCGTATGGGGATGAAGTTCTCAGAAAAGTTGAAGTATATAAACCAAGTTAAAGTTAGACATTTTCTTTAAAATAATAAATTCAGTTAAACTTTTGCTGCTATTCGTTCATATAAAACTGCATGATTGTGAGATTTGGACTTAGAAGTCTCTCACAATATTAAATAAATAAACATCTCTATCACTACAAGAAAAAAACATTTTAACGATCTGAAAAAATCGATCTTTAATGTCAAAAAATCGATCGCTAAATCAATAACAAAATTAATTATTTTTATTTATTTCCCATAACTCTTATTTATATTGTATTTTTAAGAAGTTTAACTTATTGTTGGATTTATTGTCATTGTCGTGATTCGAACCCGATACCTTAGAGTTGGAGAATGAAACTCCAACCACTCGAACTACTAGAATTTTTTAATAATAATTTACAAATAAATTATATTTATATACAAATAAACGTATATCCGTATAAATATATAAATATAAAATCTATAAATAAAAATATATTTATATATTTTAATATATATTTAAATATTAATACATTGATATATTTAAATATTAATATATTTATATATTGATACGTATATTTATATCTTTATATTTTTATATATATTTATATCTTTATATTTTTACATATATTTATATCTTTCCATATTTATATATTTATATATAAAGATATTAGTTTTGTATACAAATAATATTATAATATAGTATATTATACTATTAGTATAATATACAAATTATATATTAGTATAGTATACAAATTATTAGTTTTGTAATTTATACACTATAAAAATAAATTACAAATATTATAACATAATGATTAATATAATATAATATATTTGTATTCTAATTTTTAATTAAACTAAAATTATGTTAATAATGTATAATAATATATGAGAGGATAATATTGATATATATATATATATATATATATATATATATATTTATATAATGATATATTTATATATTTATATTTTGATATATATATATATATATATATTGATATATTGATATATTTATTTATATCCTTATACATTTATATCTTTATATATTTGAAAAAAATAAAAATTTAAATATTAAATTTTAAAAATAATATTATATTTTTAAAAATAAATATTAGAAAAAGATTTAAAAATATATATAAATTATATTAATATGTACAAAATATTAAAGATATATATTTATATATTTACATATTTATATCTTTATATCTTTATATTTTATATCTTTATATCTTTACATATATTTATATCTTTATATCTTTATATATTTACATCTTTATATATATATATATATATATATATATATATATATATATATATATATATATATATATTTATATCTTTATATATTTATAAAATCTATAAATATAAATATATTTGTATATTTTAATATATATTTAAATATTGATATATTTACATATTTATATATTTATATATTTATTTATATCTTTATATATTTATATATTTATATCTTTATATATTTATATCTTTATATATATATATATATATATATATATATATATATTTATA